CAAAACCACATTGTTTTGAGATGGAATATTTCATTTTCTAGCATATGTGGTTTCTTTATGTTAATAATAAATTAGTCTTGATTGTTGGTGTTTGAGCTTAGATGGTTAAATATAGAAATATTTCTTCCAATGTTGGTCCAACAAAATTGATCAAATCATTTAGAAAAAATAATGCATAAGCTGTACTAAAGTTTGATATCTAAACTGAGCACTAGACTAGTATAAAGACTGAATAATGCTGCAATTATAAATCGTGTTTGACTATTAGCTGTGGAGGCCTTTTATAGGATTATATGTGAATTTTAATTTATTTTATGATGCTTATTAATATAACCCTTTCTAGGAAATTAAGAGTATTGGTAGATAAAATTATGAATATTGGGGGCCGGGGGAGGGACAGTGATGGGATAAAATCTACACCTAGTTGTATTCAGGCCTGATTCCTGACTCTGCGCTCAGGTATCAATCCTGAAGAATTTTGGAGGGAGACTGTCAGGTGCCGGGTGGGTATATTGGGTACCAGGTTGCAAACCCTGGCCTAAATGTATACAAGACAAGTGCCCTACCCACTGCACTATGTCTCTGGACCTATGACAACTTTATAACCTTTGGACATAAGTGACTTTGTTTAATGTCAAGTCATGAATTATTCTTCTGTTAATAAGATTGAAACATTCCATAATCTAACAGTATTTCAGGCAGAGAGAGAGAATACATTTGATAAAGCCTTGCACATGGCTGACGGGTCTCAGTCCCCAGCACCCTATCTGGTCCCCAAGACCCAGCAGGAGTGATACCTGAACACAGAGCCAGAAGTAAGTCTGAGTACAACTAGGTGTAGCCTAAACACCCCCACTCCACCCCAAAATAACACTGCAGCTTATAGTGTATAAATAAAAAGTGGTAAGAAAATCATGTAATAGCAATTAATGGTAACCAAACTCTATACGGGACCAGAGTAGTCACATGCACACATTTAATTTATGCTCATTCAAATTACAATAAGGAATAAAAGCCCCTAGTTTTCCTTGTCACCTCTCTTCCCCCACATCCCACCTTTAACTGGATTCCACCTTAGAAAAAGGAAAGTCAATGTAGCAATCAAAAAACGCAAAGAAATGAATGCTAGTTTAGTCCTGACAATTCGAAGGGGACCCATTCAGAGTCTGTACAGAGTCTTCTCAATTGCATCTTATACAGCCATGAATAACATCTCTAGCTATTATGCTTCTAACAACCTAGGTTCTGGTAATTTTGTGCAATTTAAAGAATTTTAACTTGATTGTTAGAGATTTTCAATTTTTATCTTATGCACAGACTTTAAAACCTAACTCCCACTCCTTATCTTTTTAACAAAATAATACCATAGTTATATATAGCTTATATTGATGTTCCTCATAGTGGAAAATTTCTATTTCCATGTGATCTAGTGATAAACACTCATTTACTATAACTTTCTACTTAAAACTAAAACAGTTCAACTGTGAATGGGAAGACATTATGACTAAATATTTCAGTATAACTTTTTTCAGTTCTGTCTCTAATTACATCTCTCTCAATTTTTCCCTTTCCAATTTAAAAAAAAATTAAAAACAGGGTAAATAAAATTGGAATTTTTGGACATAAACATTCTAAAATAACATTCTTTGCAAATTGGATTATAATTCAATCATTTATTTGGAGGGAAATTTTTAAATACTTAAAATTACTGATTTAATTCAAACACCAATGTTTTAAGGAACACTGTTACGGCTTCCTCATTCATATAAACTCTTGTTCTAATCATTTTAAATGATATATTTTTAATCCCAAGGGAAAAATAACCTGTATATTATTATTATAGAATGATTTTTAAAACCATGTGAAAGAAGTTAACATTTTTCATACATTTCTGTAAGAAGACTAATAGAGTTTATGTCCAGGTTGCTGAAAAATACAGTTCTAAGTTTTTCCTGCTAAATTTTCTGAGGCTAAATTTTTATTCTTTATGACTCTATCTTATGTAAAATTGTTTTGTATATATGTGTATATGCATACATTCCCTGGCCGTTAAAGAGTAATATCTTTGTGTTATTCTTATACCAAAACTATAAAAATATTTCCAAAAGAAATACCTTTTGAGTTATATCTTAGAAGCAAAACTACAAATTCCTGTAGTGCTTACTTGAAAACCATCAAGTGCTAGACCCCTTTCCTTGGCAACACAGCTGCATTGATAAAGTATAGCTTATAGACAGCTATACTTTAGACTCTATTGCACTATCACTGATATTATTTATACTAATAAGCTATAGCACAGCAAAAATTATTTTTAATAACAATATCTTTTTTGAATTTTAAGAACAAATGAATCTTTTTTCCCCATTTTATTTAACCACTGTGATTTACAAAGTTTTTCATGATGCATTTGTTTTAGACATTCAGTATTCCAATATCATAACAATTAGGTAAGAAAAAGATATCAAGGGCCTTAAGATAGGAAAGGAAGCCAAGCTATCACTAACTGCAGAGGACATAATACTACACTTAGAAAATCCTAAAGACTACAATAAAAAGCATCTAGAAACAAGAGATTTATGCAGCAAAGAAACAGGCTACAAAATTAATATCAAAAAGTCCATAGCTTTCCTCTATACAAATAATGATAGAGAAGAAAGAAATACTTAAAAATTAATCCCATTCAGAATTGTGCCTCAGAAAATCAAGTACAGAAGAATCAGCTTAACTAAAAAGATGAAGGACCTATACAAAAATACAAAACACTACTTTAAGAAATAAAAGAGGACATGAGGACATAGAGACGCATTCCCTGCTTATGGATTGAGTGGATTAATATTGTCAAAATGGCAATGCTCCCCCAAACATTATATTCAGTGTGGTCCCTATAAGGATAACATTGACATTTTTCAAAGGAATAAATAAAACACATCTGAAATTCATATGGAACAATAAACCCCCATGAATAGCTAAAGTAATTCTTGGGAAAAAGAAGATGGGTGGCATCACCTTTTACAACATCAAACTGTACTACAAAGTAGTAGTGATTAAAACAACATGGTATGGGCTGGAGCGATAGCACAGCGGGTAACGCATTTGCCTGGCATGCAGCTGACCTGGCCGACATGAGTTCAATTTGTCCACCCCTCTCGAAGAGCCCAGCAAGCTACCGAGAGTATCTCGCCTGTACGGCAGAGCCTGGCAAACTCCCCATGGCGTTTTCGATATGCCAAACACAGCAACAAGTCTCACAATGTTACTGGGCCTGCTCAAGCAAATCAATGAACAACGGGAGGACAGTGACAGTGACAGTGGTATGGGAATAAAGAAAAACCCACAGACTAATGGAATAGAGTTGAATATCCTGACACAGACCCTCAAATACATGGCCACTTAATCTTTGATAAAGGAGCAAGAAATGTGAAGCGAAGCCAGGGAAGCCTCTTTAACAAATGTTAGGAAAACTGGGCAGCTACGTGCAAAAAAAAATGAAGAAAGGTCTCTATCTAATGCCCCGTAGCAGGCCCAAAATAATTTATTTTATATTGTTTATTACCACTAAACGGCTAGTGGAATGACCAAAAAACATTTCATTAAAAGAAAATTTGGGAAAATTATGAAAATTATTCTCACTTACCCTGCATCTCACATTAAGTCCTTGCCTGAGGGTCTACCAAGCTATCGTTGCTATCTGAGCCTTCTGTGATCATGTTTTTGTTAGTCAAGTTTAGTTGGCTTCTACATTACATTCCCCTTCGATCTTGTGTGCTCCTATTAGAATGTTTGTATTGTAGAGTTTGGGAATGTGGGGCACTCCAGAAAATCGAGGATATTTAACTGGGCAGTAACCAGTGTATGCAAGAAATTTTTGTGACTGGTTTATCTCTTTGGAGATTTCATTCTGAGGCTCTGGAGCAGGGCCGGTAGATGAGCTTACGTGGCAGCAGGAGTGGGTCATGAGTATGGCTGCAGGAACTTCTGGAAGCTTTGGGAGGTGGTGGGAGGATGCCCATAGCAAAAAAGGCCCAGAAATTTAAAACAAACAAACAAACAATGAAAGTGTGCCTGAACTTTTCCACAGTTTGGCATCTCTGAGGAGCTCAACTACCATGCAGTGGAGTCTGGCCTTAGTCATCTGCTGGAGTGTGTGTGGAGCTGCGGGGGCTTTCACAGGGCAGGAACTTGACCTACCAATCTTGATAAATGAATGAATAACTGAATCTTGATCCAGGGATTCCTTGCAAGAAAGAGATTAAGGGAGGGGCAGGGAGATAGTATAGATTTTATATATACCTTATGAGGCTCCCAAATTTGCATCACAAGGCCTCCCTAGCTTGCCATGCATCATTCCAGAGGCTCCTGAGCATCACTGATGTGGCCTCGGAGGACTCTGAACCCTGCCCAAATGGCCCTGGTAATCCCTGCACCACACAATACAAGCAGCACCACATCTTAAGGTCCTAGCACTTAAACAACTGTCAGACTGGCTGAGTGTGGCCATTGGGAGGACCCTCTCCCCCCTCAAAAGATGATAGGACTATCACAGCAAATTTGAAAAATAGGAAAAAGGGCATGGATTCAGAAGCAGTTCCAAGTGGTTAATAGTGAACAGCCTGTAGCAAGATACTTCCTTAATGAAGTTAAAAAGTGAACTGCTCCTCAAGTTTGAAAACCAAGTTTCATTCAAGAGATCAAAGTGAAAAGAAATGAGCAAGTGGTGGGTTTCCCCCCAGATCTCCATAGTATGAAACCAAGTACTTTCAAAAAACAGGAAAAATAAAAAGACAAAAGAAATTAACAAATGAAATTAACCAGATAAAAGTATCTGCTTTGAATTTGATGGAAAAATTCTTTTTATAAATGGAAAATGAGGACATTAGATGTAAAAAAAAAGCATTAGATGTTAAAGTATTGTACAAAGTATTGTAAAGTATTGTTAAGTAAGGTGGGTGATTCTTAATTTATCCAATATTAAATGACCTCTGTGGTTTTTTTCCTTGTAGAATGCCAGAATCCCCTGGTGAAGTTCCTGAGTATCCCTTGTTTGTCACTGTTGGTGACTGGCTGGATTCCATAAAGATGGGGCAATATAAGAATAACTTCTTGGCAGCAGGGTTTACAACTTTTGACTTGATTTCAAGAATGAGCATTGAGTAAGTGAACTAAGGTTAATACTATATTTAGATACCCAGCTCAGATATAAATTCAAATACATTATCAAGAACTCTGTGCTTAAACTGTCTTCAGGCTAGTATGGCCTTTCCACCTCACTTCCCACTATTTTTAACCAGTATTCTAGAAGTTGAGAATTATATTTTAACTACCATTCCTTTTAAAATATATTTAGTCCAAAGAGCTAGTTTTCATTTTTTAATGATTTATAAATGTGTGTTACTCTTGTTCATATAACATTGACAATACCATAGTTCTATTTTAGCATATTTTTATGATTCACATATACTAATATAGCAAAATGATAACTATTGCCTTGATCAAATGTAATAATTTTAATATAACAGTACATCATTTCATAGTTCAACAGTACTATAAAGGTCAATATTTTCCCACTGTCTCTGAGATTTTATTTCCCACTGTCCACTGAGATTTTATTGCCTAGGTGCAACAAAATATTCACCAAATTAAATGCAAAAATTGTAAGGCTAAATATGTTAAATTTTCATTATTAAGAAATATTAATAACATTCTTATATGGTGTGATATAATAGAATGGTGACTTTTGTTTTTAGGTATTGAAAAATGAGAACTCAAATGGAGTTCTGGTGAAATTTTATATTACTTCTTAAATTATTTGACTTCGACTTTGCTTTGTTTTTTGATCCAGACTCAGCAGGTACTCGGGGCTTATTCCTGACTCTCTACTCAGGAATTGCTCGTGGGATGGCTCATGAACCATACATGGTGCTGGAAATTTAACTAGGGTCAGCCATATTCAAGGCAAGCACCTTACCCACTGCTCTATCTATCTGGCCCAGAATTATATAATCTTTTGACCTGTAAAATGCCTGAACATTATAATACATCCCTGAGTTTGACATTTTTTCTTTTATTCTTAAATTTGAGATTACCTAACATTTGATACCAGAAGGAAAAGGTGAAACACTTGATATTCGTATATGAATGCACTCTCATTTTTCCAGCTATACAAGTCTTGTCAAATTAATAAAAGAAAATGATATGCTGAATATTTATCAAATCTAAATGTTCACTTCCTTTCTCTCAAGTTTAACAATACCTAAGTGTCTCTTCTCTCTTTGATTTTCTCTGTCTCTCTCTCTCTCTGTCTCTCTCTTTATTACTCTGTTTCTCAGTGACATTAGAAGAATTGGAGTCATACTCATTGGACACCAGAGACGAATAGTGAGCAGTATACAGACTTTACGTTTACACATGATGCACATACAGGAGAAAGGATTTCATGTATGAAAGAACTACAAGTACCTGTGTCTTGTGCCTCAGCATTTCTAAAATGAAAGATATCCTCTCTACTACCCTTTCTTCAGATTTTTCAGACATCACTTCACAAACTGCAATCTCCTGTCCTTCAGACTATGGGCACACACCTTTTGTTTATGCTTCCAACCTGAATTTTAAAATCATGCTTTATATTTCCTCTCTGAATGATGTAGGGGGAACAAAGACCCTGGCCCAGTGCAGATTATTACTGCACAATGGTAAATAACTCAGCATGGATGTGTAACTTTATATAACGGTCTTTGGGAAGCGTTCACAGATTTGACCCAGAGGAATTTGCCCAAGTATAGCATCTTTGACTTCAGAATATGATGAGAGTCGAAAATAGTTAACTTTTTAATCAGCATTGTGATCAAGTAGCTTCCAAATTGGCATTATTTCAAATAATTACAGTCAAATATAGGGATCTTATCATTATTTTATAATAGCTAGCTTAATTGCTAAGTGTCTAATATCAGAGTTGCAGAAATGGCCAGTTATTTCATGTAATGAGTTCTTTGTCAGGTGTTAGTATGTTGAAAAGAGAGTTGATCAGTGAGGGAGAGCATGGAACAGACTGTATTTTTAGACCTTCTAAGGCCTGCTTTGTCCATTTTTTTAAATTACTTTTATAGTGTCCTTCATCTCTCACAGTAGATTGTAGTTTAGGAGTTCTTCCCCTATATATTTTTTACTAACTATATAATATATCTCTCTTCTTATGAATATTTCCCTGAAATGACCTAGGATAAGTAAATTATTCTAGTGACTTTCATAGAGTGACATATAGAATAAACCATGGCTCTCCCTGGCATCATCTTCCAAAGTTTCTAAATGTAATAATCAAAGCACTGAAAAAATTCTCAGAGAAACTTCTTTGGACCAAAACAAAAAGATTATAGTCTCAGATTTAAGAATTTATTTAATTTCTTACATTTTATGGCTATATGGTAGCCCAAGAAAAATAACATATCTTTTTAGCTTACTGTGTATTTTACAGTTTAAGAATGGTTATGTATTGGTACCAAAAATAAGTTACATTAACATGCTGAGTTGTTTTCCAAACCTTCCAAGAAAAAAAGTAAATGCTATTGCATATTTCAAAGACATTATAAACAAATAAACCACCTGAGCATATGTAAAAACTGTCAGATTGGGTCAATAATACAGTAACCTTAACACAGCTAAGATGTATTGTCATGATCTTCTCAGAAGCTGGAAAAATGTCAGTGAATTAAGCTGAGTCAATTCATCAAAAGAGTACCATCTTAAAATTCAATTATTCAATCAGCTATACCCTGTGGTACTAAAAATATAACTGCTTTGCAAGGTGGAAGAGTAGGAATTATGTCTTTGAGAAAGAAAAAAAAGCAGTGATGTAATCATGATGCTTATTTAATAAATTGAGGTTTCATTTCTTCTAATAGATAAGGTGCCCTACCCAAACTGGCAAGTAAGTTTCTGCGTAACTAATATTTTTTGTATGTATAGTAACTTTCTTACTATTAGAAAAACTCACTTTTTCTTTTATTCCTTCTTTTAAGACTTGCTGATTATCCAAATAGTCTAAATAGTCTAGATCCTGACACCTGTTCTCTCTTGCTGACTATCTCATGATTTTTTTTTGCCTACTACACCACAGATTAATTTTGCTCATTTAACAAACTGCATAGGTTTGGAAGGAAGCATCTTTAAAGCTGTCCTTAAAAATGAACTTTAAAAAGGAAAACATGGGAACTCCATCTTTTTGTAAGTATGTCAGAAATAGCTAGCAATGTTTTCTAGTCATTACCTGCATGATCATGCATCACTCATAGGCTTATCTGCAGTGGTTTACTTAATACATTTACACAAACCTGGATACATTTAGAGAAAATATAAAATTTCCATATTTACCTGTCTTCAAATATATATTATGAGCAGATTTAAAACAGATAAAATTTATTAATCACATATATTTATTTTTATAATGCAATAAGAAAAGATATTTAGAAAATAAAGAATAAAGTAATTATGGTCTTCCATAGGACTGTCAGCAACATCTGTGTACTTGGATGAAATAAATTCTATAAAGTAAACTTCTATGAGATGGGCATTCAGTGCTTGCAAGATTAAAATTCTTTGTTAAGAATTTTCTTTTAAAAACTTCAATGATCCTATTTTATGTTAATTTATCAACTTTTTCTTTATTAACATATTTAGTATTATAAAACTGACTTGGTCTCTTATACAAAATCCTCTTTAAAATGTTTTTTTAAATTACATTTATACTTTTCAAAACTGAAAGCATAATAACTAAATGTAATTTGAAACCTCATCATGGTTGGAGAAAGACTGAAATATCTGAGCTAGATTAAAAACTAAGAATATCATGTCTTTACTGCCTACCATTCAGAAACCCTGGATCTCAATGGCACTATAATATCCAGAAAAAATTTACAGTAAAGTTGCCAAAATCATTTGAAAATTATAAAGTATTTTAAGATTTACTAGTGTACATATTCTATAATTAAAATGATTTAATATGCATAAGCATAGGACTTATAAAAATGCATAACTTCTACAAGCCTCTGTAATAACCCTTAAAAACTAGAATATGCATATACATTTAAATATCTGCTTTACTTAAAATTTTCTAATCTATATTACTGATGGGACTTTTTAGATTTTGAAATTCAGGCAGTCAAGGAAATTATTGTACATTGAGTGGTCAGTTTCCATCTATAGTCAACTCGTTATCTCATAGTATAAGATATTTTCAGAAGAAAATGTACAAACTATATACAATCAAGAAAAGATATTAGGTATGTAAATTATTAAACTGAAAAAGCAATCAGAAATTGTGAAGCTCTTAGCTTAACAAGAATCAAGAATTACAGCACTTTAGTACTGTTATAACTGCTGATAAATATGTTCTGCATGCCATAATCAAAAGAGATTTATCTTATTTTACAGAGTATTACTCTTTAAAAGCTATTCAGCTGTCACCTGGGGAGATGGGAAAAATCAACATTCCAGCTCTAATGTTAAGGCTTAAAACAGTCCATGAATGTAAAGCAAATCCAAACCCAGCTCTTGAAATGCAAACTTTATAGAAAGTCTTCTGAAGAGGTGGGGAAGAATGAGATACATCTCATCTATATCCTAATCAGGTTTTTCTATAAAAATTTAGCATCTTTTCCTCTCAAATTTCTGCTATGTAAAGCAGTCCATAAGTCTCTCATCACAAGCCTTTTATTACTTTTATTCCATTATTCACGGTCACGGTCCTCCCATTGTTCATCGATTTGCTCGAGCAGGCCCAGTAACGTCTCTATCATGAGACTTGTTACTGTGTTTGGCATATCGAATACATCATGGGTAGCTTGCCAGGCTCTGCCGTGAGGGCGAGATACCTTCCTTTCTCAGCCACTTCTTTCTTTTTTCCTTCATTTCATCACTTTCTGCTTCTACCACACCACTGTACATATCAGCAAAACAGGTATCATAGCTAATCTATAAAGGTCTTCCTTTAATGTTCATAGTATTATTTGCAGTCACAGATGGTTTGACTTCTGATTTTTTACTAACTGAAAATTAAGTGCTTTGGAAAATAATTTTGGAATGGTTGATCATGATTTTTTTCCATAGTTTTATCTGAGGAGATTTTTTTGTCAATTTCTAATAAATTAGTGTTATAATAATAAAAAACTGGTTAAAAATCACATCTGATATATGTATATATGCATATATATTTATCTTTACTTAGATAGTAGAAATACCTGTGTGACCTTTTATAGTATGATCATGTAATTCTTCTTTTTTTGTGGGGGGGGGCCGCGTCACACCTGGCGATGCACAGGGGTTACTCCTGGCTCTGCCCTCAGGAATTACTCCTAGTGTGCTTGGGGGACCATATGGGATGCTGGGAATCGAACACAGGTAGGCTGTGGGCAAGGCAAACACCCTACTCACTGTGCTATCACTCCAGCCCCGGATCATGTCATTCTTACCATGTTCAAATTCCATTCGTAGAGATTCATTCACATCAATACAAAATTATTTCAATTATTTTTTAAATGTTTTTTGTTTGTTTTTGTTTGGAGACCACACACAGTTGTGCTCAGGGCTTACTCCTGGCTTTGTGTTCAAGGATTACTCCTGACAGGCTCAGGGGACCATCTGGGGTGCCAGGGATTGAACCCACGTCTTCTGTATGCAAGACAAGTGTCCTATCCACTGTATTATCTCTTTGGCCCCTCTAGCCTATATTTTAATAATATTTATATGAAGATTTTAAAAAGTAGAGGAGTAAACATGGTCAAAGTGATGGTATTTTTCCATTAGTATACAAAGAACTGAAGTCACCTAACATTTAGTTTTTATAATCAACATTTCCACTAGTTTTTTTTTTTGTTTTTGGTTGTTTGATTATTTATTTGTTTGTTTTGGAGTCACATCCAGCTGTGCTCAGAGCTTACTCCTGGCTCTGTGCTCAGGGATCACTCCTGGCAGGGCTCAGGAAATCATATGTGATGCCAGGGATAGAACCCAGGTAAGCCACATACAAGGCAATTACCCTGCTGCTATTATCATTCCAGCCCCTCCAACACAGTTTTGATATTTAAAATATTCTAAAAAGGCGGTATAAACTTTACTTAGCTCAATTTAACAGCTGTATACAGGGTATCTCTTATACATATAAAAAAGTTAAAGATGATTTTCACTGTACTGCCCTTATCTTCAAGCTAACTTTTAACATAGGAGGACAATACCCCTTTGATATTAGTATCACTGTTATCACTGTATGACTGTCGTCCCATTGTTCATTGATTTGCTCAAGTGGGCCCCAGTAATGTCTCCATTCACCCCAGTCCTGAGATTTTTAGCAGTCTTTCCTTATTTGTCCTTCCCAATGCTGCCCTATTGGAGGCCCTTTCAGGGCCAGGGGAATGAAGCCCATTTCAGTTACTGTTTTTGCCAAATCGAATACGCCACAGGGAGCTCGCCAGACTCTGCCGTGCAGGACTACGTTAGTAGTGATTGTAGTATCATGGAATTAGATCTTCCCATGGAACAAAAATACATTAATAAAATAAATCAGAGCTTGTCCTACATGACTTGGATTTGGCTGGAGCAACAGTACAGTGGGTAGGGCGTTTGCTTTGCATGCGGTCGACCTGGGTTCAATTCTTCCATCTCTCTCTCTCGGAGAGCCCGGCAAGCTACTGAGAGTATCCCACCCACTCGGCAAAGTCTGGCAAGCTGCCGGTGGCATATTCAATATGCCAAAAACACTAACAACAGGTCTCACAATAAAGACATTACTGGTGCCCACCCGAGCAAATCGAA